AGTTACGATGCTTTTACTTTGGGAGGACCTTATTCTGTTCGGGGTTACAACATGGGAGAGTTGGGAGCTGCAAGAAATTTACTTGAGGTACTCGCTTATAACTGAAAACAACAGTTGGCCTCATGCCCTGTACACTCACACTGGCTTGTGTTCTATGAGATGGTGAAAATACTTAGAATTTGTTGAGCGGCTTAAGCCTCAGTTTTCTGTGAAAGTTGACCAAGTTTAGTTTTATATGTATATGGAACTTTTATGCATGCTTGATCCAGAATTAATAACAAGAATGGAGATTGTTCCATGTTTTTTTTATTTTTGATCCACCGATTCTAATGCTATCTGCAGCTGTTTGCTGAGCCACGGATACCTGTGAGAAATACGAAGGAATGCGTGTACTTGTGTACTCATTTTGTGTTGACACCCTTACAATTACTTCCAGTAGCTTTTGGCACTGAAACTGCTAAATGGATTTGCGTTGTGAGGTAAGCATTTTAACATCTTTCCATTCATGAATCGTACAAGTATGTCAAATTTGTTGCAATTAGTTATTTGGATGACGTATTGGTTTTGTGTGAATATATGGTAATAAATAAGACTTTGCCTAAGCCAACCAATCCAACCCGACCCGACCGATACTTGATTGGGTTGGTTGGTTTGATTTTATTTCAAACCGACCATGGTGGGTTGGGTTAGGGTTGGTGTAAAAATCAACCCAACCCACGCCCACCTCTATTATCAATAGAGAAAAAAATGGTTGAGCAGCTAAACTATTTAGATTTTATTAATATTTTTGCCTCTAAAACAGTAAGACAAATAGCATTTAAATAATTGTTTGAAATATTGTTGGTTTTGTTATTTGATAATATAAATTTTTTATATAATATGTTTGTTTGTTGTTTTAATGTTAAATTTTAAGTTAGCAATAAGTTGCATAATAAATTGTTGCATTTACATTGATTTCGGGAAGGGGCCCCGACAATCACAGGACCGACCCTGGATACACCTGATATTGTATTGACATTATTTTCTTCTAATATTAAGTCCAAAAAATATTTTTTGTCTTGAAAAATAGTATGTGTAGTTACACTATTAATTAAGCAGGTATCTTGACAATTCATCATGAATCTTCATTGGATTTTGAAGAATTAAGCTTTCGTGCTGATAAAGTGTTATAAAATAGAAAAAAAGAGAAGAAAATAGAGAGAAGTCAATAAACTTGTATATATTTTATTAAGAACTAAAGCCCCGTATTTATAGGGTAGAATTAGGGATACAAAAGTAATTATTTCTAAGATTGTAGTGGTATAATTGTCATTCACCTTTAAACCCTAATAAACCTACCTTTTACAATAGAGATGATACTTGTTAGAGATTTTATTGTCTAATTCAGTAATTGGTCAAGCTCCTGTGTTGTTAAAATCTTTCAATATAAAATTAATGAGAATATTTTAATTGAAATTTTATTTTTCACTGAGAATCTAGCCTCAACCTAAAATTAGAGGACGATCTCGTCTAAAATATTCTCAACTTACAACCAATTCAAGAGGTTTACCACTAGGAATAATAATGAACAAATAAAGGACAAAGTTATCCAAGGTCGGCTCTAAATTGACCAATAGCAAAAAATTAAAGTAAAACAGCTTAATCAGCTTGATAACTACTCTTCTTAACCATAATAATTATTAATATTGTGGCCTTATAATAGCCGTCGATTTTCTTGTGTAAAGTTTCTGTGGGCCCTTCAAAAACCAATCATAGGTTTTGGACAAGATTTGGGCGGTTTGTAATGTGACAATTCTTGTCTTCAAGATTTCATTTTGACAAATTATGAATGGGAAATTGCAGTAGAATTAACACAACGCTTGTGTTCTTAGTTAAGTTTGTGAAGGGTCAGTCAATAGCTTATAAGAATTAAGGCCAGAATTATACTAAGTATATGACGATTTAAAATGCCTTGGTAATTAATTTTTAAAATGAAATTTCAAGATTCAATATATTATCAGATGTTACAAAATTCAAAGAATAATTTGATCTCCTTGAAACTTAAAACGAATTAGAGAGAAAGTGGGGGGCCCATTTGGAGAATGGTCTGGCAAGGCGTGGTGTTCTTTTTTTTTTATATTTTTATTTTATTTAATTAAAAGTGAGTTATTGTAGTCTTTTTTTTTTTTTAAAATAACAAATTCACTTTTTAACAATCAAATAAATGGATATAATGATAAATGACTTTTTGTGCACATAGACAATAGGTTGACGACATTTTTGCCATGAAAGAAGCATTAGGGACTAAATTCTCATACATGTCATAGGTTAAAGACCAATTGCACCAATTTATCTATTTTTCATAACAACCATTTCCACTCATGAAGAACAACGATAGGGATAGGTGTGGATTGGGTTAGTTCGGTTTTTGATCCAACTTAAAATAGAACCGAACAATTTTGTTTGAATAATTTTCAACTCAAATCAACCCGAAATTGTTGTGTTTTACATCATTCCTCTTGATCATTAAAAATCAGAAAATCAACAGCGGAGTGATAGTGCAAATGTGACCATAATGAGGTTGTTTTGGTCTATACATTTGTGGGGGATTTAGCTGTTGCTCTCCTACTTAGGACCTCTATGACCCTCCATTCCCTACACCCCCTATATTGGTTCTTTGCGGCACTCCACCTGAATTCGTCAATGATGGATTTGCTAGTGGTGAGAATATTATATAGAACCTAGCTAGACAGTGTTTCAGGGCATTCTCTTCTTCCTATAGTGCATGCTTTATTCTAGAGACAAGTTTCGAGTCATATTAGATGGGATCCTTCTTGCCAGACGACTTGGAATTTCAGATATTTGGGTTGAGGCGGAATCCATTGCGGTTGTTCATTGCATCATTAGGGGGGGAGGACCATGAGCGATTCAGGGTACTTTCCGATATATTAAACACTTCATCTCTTTTGATCATGATATTATCTTTCACATCTATCGTGAAGGAAACCGAGTTACAGATTTTCTTGCCTCAGAAGGTTGGAACCAACATCAATACCTGGAGTATAGACCACATAACATTCATCGATGGATCAAGATACTTGTGCAGATTGATCGACGTAAATTACCAAACTTTTGAGGTTTATAGTTTAGGACTCATTGGCTTGCATTGTACTAGAAGTAGGACTCCTTATTTAATTTTTTTCATTATTTTTTTACTATATTTGTTGCTTTGTTTTTTTTGGAGGTTAGATTTATGTCCTCTCTCTCTCTCTCTCTCTCTCTCTGATATAAACATTGTTGAGGAATCCTATCCCCCATCAACCGTCATTGGTTGAACTTAAAAATCGATATCTTTGCTAAAAAAAATAATAATAAATAATTCCTAAAATTGGAAGTAAGATTGAATCAATTTGAATTGATCAATCTTGTGTCAGCTTAATTTTTGCTTAGCCCAACTCGTTTGACCCCCATTAATTTTCATTCCATTACATTTCATTTTTCTTTCTCATATTTTCAACCATATAATTTTTCATAAAATAATATTACACGTAATCGAAAATATTTCCTTCTTTTTCAATCACTCATTTTTCAAAAAAAAATATTCTATCGATTTTCATTTCTACAAAATGAGGGCCAAAGTGGAGCTAAATTGGACTATACTACTTACATTTTAAATTAAGATTTTTAAAGGTTTTTTATGTGACTAGTCAGAGTTAAACGTACTTTGCACGTTGTTCTAAAATACTTTATAAATGCTGTAAAAATAATATTTGATATCAATTTGTTGAAAATTTTTGATGAATCTTAAACGAACTAAAGAAAATAAAATTTAGGATATATATTTAAGAGAGGAAAATTGTACTCTCAAAATTCAACTTTTATGATTCAAATTTTTTGTTATTATTAAATATTACAAATGAGCAACATGTTTATACTACATTTGGTGCATAAAAATTAATTGTTAATACGCGAATTTAAACACCTATTAAAATTTTTAGATACATGATTAAAAATAAATTCATCTATAATAACTTTAAGTTCATGTAGATCAAGATTCATTAAGTCAAGACTCATTGAATATAGATTAATATGAATATTAATCAATTGGAAATTAATAATACGAAATTTATACATGACAAGAATTTTGTAGTATTTATTACATATTGAAAAACGAAAAGTAAAGATATTATTAAAATAATTGAATTGTAACAGAGTTAAAATCGTTCGAAAAATGATTCTCACTTGATATGATATTTAATAGATTATAAATTGCTAACAACTTAAAATATTGGGCAATTTACACAAATATGAAAAAATAGAGGGTGAATTGAAAAAATGCGTATATTTTTTAATTTTGCAGAGTTTCAACCTAAGAATTGACAATACATGTATAATAATACAAGTATTATGATATAACCTAATAATACAAGTTTTTTTTTTTTTTTGAGAAGCCCTACATTTAATAAGTTAAAAAGATTTAATATTTAATATATTTTTTTGAAATTGTAACTTATACTCTTATGTAATTTTTGTTATATGTGTATGTTATACTTGAAGATAATATTCCACCATCACCTTGGTGCTGCATTTCTCAGGGAGAGTTTTTAGATTCTTAATTGAATGTAGACTGCGTTCACGTAGGTCAATTTTGAATTCGATCTGTCGAGGATTGTCAGCGTTTATTAAGAGCTTGATAGTTTCTAGTGCCTATTCAAGATTGAGCATTGAGATATGACGACAGATTTAAAAAGTCACCTACATTTGCTTTAAATCCAGTTATTTCGAATAATACTTGCATTCACGATCATCTGTTTCATAGAAAACTTAAATTTGAAAAAGAACGAATTCTAATCTTCAAAGTTTCTAGGGAGAAAAGCGCAACATCAAAAGTCATCGTACACAGTGTCAACTTTAAATGTACGAAGCTGCAAGACGTTTTCAGACAAGCCAATTTTTATTCCCATGACAAAGGTTCGATTCCAACTAATGTCCACAACCATGTTTCTGTGAAATTCATGAACAAGATAAGTAAAGCTTTTGACAACTCAAAAGAAAATTACAAATAGTCCATGATGGTTCGTGGTTAATGACTAATATAGCATGGAAGGAAAGCAAGCCTGTCTCAATCTTGAGAGGATAGATAGTATACAGTGAATACAAAAGAATGACTACAAATAACAACCAAAAGGAAATAAACATGCAAAAAGAAAGCTATAGAAGCATTTGCAATGAAGTGATAACTCAATATCAACATGCACAACCACCTTGTTGTTCTGTTTCAGAAACAGCCTCCTGCATGCCCTGGAAATATCTGTAAATGCAAACAAAAGAAATGTAAAAAATTAACAAAAAGTTATATAATGTAATTTTATTGAAGGATTTCTGTGTTCATGTAATAGGTATTAAATGAAACCATTTCAAAGAGCGAGCACAAAGAAAATGTAGAAATGCCTCGATCAACCAACACTCAAAGAAGTCAGAATCTTACTTCTGATATCACATTATTATTGTGAACGACCAACAGTTGAAGAAATCAAATATTTTTGTCACGCTTAGTCGTTACAATTTACAAGTGAACCCCTGTCATGTGCTTCCATTTGCATTCTAACACCATTTTCTAATAGACATAACATAAGAGTTGTCCTCCTCAAAATCACCCAAAAAAAAATGTAGGAAGTATAGAAATAAAGTTGTGTGCTATCTACATATCATCATAACATAGTCAAATGGATATGGAAAATAAAGCAATCCCAAGTTTCCTTTCCCACTTCCTCTCTAATAAAATAATGCAAAGACCATATATTTATTTACACAAAGGACACTCAAAAGCCTCAAAACATTTGCTCCAGAATGTAATTTTAGCTGCACCCAATGCACAAAGACTATTATATCTCATATGACGAATATAGTATGATACATTAATTTTTCATAGCCTATTTTACTCCTTACAAATTACATCTTTCTGCTAAAATCTTCAATGTTTTTTTTAATATATTTCTATGAATATTTCGCTGAAATTTCCTTGGAAGGACTTTAAGGGCCTTGTTCGATGGTTATTCAAGGCTTAAGGCGTGAATAATAATACACCTTGGTTAACTTAGGCCAATGGTCTACACTTCCCTAAAACCATATGACTCCAGCAATATTGTCATCCTACAAGTGATGATAGAAAACAGAAAACAAAAAACGAATATCAAATAAACACACACACTGAGAACAGAGATGATGACAAAAGAAAGAACATGCAGAACATGGCAACGAGTTGATAAATAATGGTTCTAATATTAAGTCCACACTGACATGCTCTGCTCATGCTCATTGTCTAAAGCAGTCTTTGCAATGCACAAGAATGCAGCATCAACATTGTAATCCTCTTTTGCAGATGTTTCAAAGTACGGTATGTTCCCTTTCGATGCACACCATTCCTTGGCCTTCTTCTCAGAAACCTGTAGTTTGAGAAATTAGGATAAATGTGAACAGCTCTTGCATTTTACAGCATAGCAACTAAACTTACCACTCTGCTATTTCCACCATCTATATCGATCTTGTTTCCTAGTAATATAAAGGGGAACTTCTTTAGATCAGGAGGGTTTGCCTGCAAAAGAGCCAAATTCTGTTTATTCACAAAGGAACGATGTCTATTTAAGTAGTTGCAGAAGCTTCAATAAAATTTCACCCACCACATTTAGAAAAGAAGTACAATGCTTCAGACATAAAAGACAAAGGAACATCACATCATTCTCCAGCACTCCAGAGATTTTCTAGAAGCTAAATTGAAAATAACAAAAGACAGAGGAGCGAAGAAGTTTTGATTATGAAGCCACTAAAGGTAAAATAAGTCAGGATCGTTAATGAGATACACAGCACATACCATTTACATTAATCACATGAAAAAAAAAAAAAAAAAAAAAGGCTTTCCTGAAAATTATAGAAGGTAGGTGATGGAATTGGAACTGAAAACACGTCAAAAATATGCCATGTATATTAGACATAAAAATAAAATAAAAGGTGATGGATTTTCTTATTTTTAATTTATGTTATGCATGTTTGGCAAGACCTGAATTATAATTTAAGCTGTTCATAATACCTTTATCCATACATCTTGTATGACCTACATCTACTACCTTTTTATATCCAGACATCTTGTAGGGCCCACAGCTTATATGCACTCCCATAAATGTTCTTTATTTCCATCTCCTAAGTTAGGAGAGTTTCCATTTTTGATATTTTGGGAACTTTCAATTTGTCTAAGAATGTTATTTTTCTGCTGATTTATAATATCAAGTAATATTAAAGTTATTGTCGATGGTACCGTTCCCAAGGGAAAAACTTCAATTCCTGTATACTGTTTGTCAGAAAAAAGTGACTTCATGTGTTGTCACAGACGAGCATATTTAAAGCATCATTGGTAAAAAACTTCTATTCCCGTATACTGTTTGCCAACAAAAAAAGTGACTTCATGTGTTGTCACAGACGCGCATATTTAAAGCATCATCTACTGATGATCATGATACTTGGATGTCAGGACAGGAGTTTGACATCTTAATCAGTTTAGCTTGTTGGAGCTGAGTTCTTTTCAAGCTTAGGGGAGATAATGGAGATTGTGGAGGAGATAGCAAAGTGCCAAAAAGAGGCACTTATTTTAGCGTAAAATTTTAAGTAAATCGTGATTTGTTTTCGTTTATTTTCTTTTACTTTTATTTATTTTATTTTGATAATTATAAGTTTTAAGTTATGAAATTTTAAATTTTGTGGTTTTTTAACTTCTCATTTTTGCTAGGAATGTAAGCATCAATGGGGCTACGACTTAATAATAGTAGAGACAATTGATTTATGACATCCAATGATCTCTCTCTATCCTGTCTCTGTAATTTTTTTCACTTCTTCTTCTTCTTCTTCTCTCTCTCTCTCTCTGTCGTGTCCTATGTTAGTAAGGTGTCTAAGGTAGTCTCAAGTAACAAGGATTTAGAAAAATAAATTAAAAAGAAGAAGAGCTTAAAAAACGCTAAAATCTAAAACTTGATTAAAAGCCAGCCACAAGCATCATTTAGGGTTAGTTGACCGAGCAAGCAAGAAAGGAATGCTCGGGCAAACTCAATATTTTTTGAACGACCACCAAAGAACTTAGGCTGCATGAGAGGGAAACATTAGTTAACTTAAAATTAGTCTTCACATACACAAAGGTTAGACCAAAATTTGATTTTTCATTGAAAGCCTGATGCCACTATTTTTCAAAAAAAGGAAGTTGAGTCTTGTACTGAGAGTCTTTGTCTACCGTGAACCACATCATCTAAAAGTTTAAACCATTAGACAGGAGGCACGTTTATGTATGACATACAAACTAAACAAGTGGACAGGTTTTCACAGAATTCTCAAGTGATGACAATTGACAACCAATTGACAACCATATCCGAAAAGTCTGATATAAATTGAAATGAGATTAAAACACTAGTCAATAATTGGATAAATTCTAAACACAATAAAGGGGATATAGTTACAGGAGAAGTAAAATGACCACATAAGTCTATGACCATCCGAGTTAATACCGATTCATTACAACGATCTGAGGTCATGATGAACCTATTTTAAACAAGATGGTAAAATTGTTTATTTTATCAAAAGGTGGTGGATCAGTTACGTCTGTAATCAAGTCTTTCCTTAAATTTCTTAGAATGCATAATCACAACTTTTGCATTTCGTGGTTTCATTCTGCATAGTATGTTTATTTCCAATCCAATTTTTTTTAGATTAGATATAAGAATGGCGACGAACCAGATCATCTAAATGATTCACATTAGGGTAATTACAAACCCATCAACAACATTGTTTATGCTAACAGGTAAAAATAATTCCTAATCAAACAGGAATCAGATATAGATACTCCAGTGCTGGCCAAATCTAACCATTCCATTTGGTAAAATAATTAAATCTCCAGTGCCTAATGAGACATTCTCTGAATGGATCAAACAAGCAGACATGAGAAAAGAAATATACGCTACATAACCCCCACTTGGAAAGGCCCAACCTTGGCAGTTTCAGATATTTGTGAAAAATCAAAGCTAACAGCTATTCTTGGCGCTTGCTTAATCTTTAAAATATAGCAAAGCTTGTTCTCATGTAAAACTATGCATCACAGAAAGAAGAGGTTCCATAAAGATTCAGCTTAAAAACCAGAATCCAACCCCGTAATTGGTTAAAATAACTCAAAATTGCCACCGCGAAAGTATTATCTAACACTTTACTCATCCTCAAGTCTAGAATTAGGGGCAATCCACCAAGTAGCCTTCTGATGAAACCAAATACGAACTTAATCACCACTAACATCAAGGAATTCAGTTCAGATTGATAATAATAAATCCTTCATCCTATTTTCAGCATGATCAGTACTAGAGCACCCCAACCTCGAGACATAAATGAAACAAAAAGGTCCACTGGCAGATTAACTCTGTCTTAGCAAATGCAAAGATATGTTAATAATATAGCTATGGATGATGAGTACTTGAGAAATATAAATGACAACAACTACAAAATCAATTCCACGCACTCTAAGCACCAATTTCGTAATGATAAGTGATAACCAAACTACAAATATTTTAGATTGTAGTTAAAACTAATGGGGATTGTGTACACCTATACTATTTTAGAAGGGAAAAATTATTGATTTATTTGAATTGAAACATTCTAAGAAGTATTTAACAGCACACTATACATTATAATGAGAATATTTTTAGAACTTTTGGACACTGTAGTATAAAGAGCTGAACAAGATAAACTAGCAAACCTCTGTAGTATAAAGAGCTGAACAAGATAAACTAGCAAACCTGTTTGAGAAATTCTTCATGCCAGTTGTCAAGAGTATCGAAGGACCTCATTACGTTGACATCATATACCAGAACACAACAATCCGCCCCTCTATAAAATGCAACTCCAAGACTCTGAAATCTCTCCTGGCCAGCGGTGTCCCATATCTAACAATACAAAAAGCAAGTTCACCCTAAACGTAATGACCAATCTAATCCTAGATATAAAAAACACACGAAAATAATAATAATAATAATAATAATAATAATAAATAAATATATAAATAAATAAATAAATATATATATATATCTATTAATAATGTGAAATAATCTAACACAATCATCATGGTCTACAAACATAAACTAAATTGAATAAATGAATAAATCAAACAGATCAATGAAATTACTGAAAAAGGATACTGGTTCATCAATGACGTTTTACCCACCCTGAAAACATTAAAATAAAATTGACACATAAATCCTTTAAAATAAAAATAAAACCGTAAGATCAGATATTATGAATTACCGAAGTCCATGAAACAAAAACATAAAAAGGGGGAAATTTTACCCACTATCGCCAAGGACGATGACCTTGAGCAACGTTCGCCTACGGGATGACATTTTTTTGCGATCACAAAAATACCTGTACCCTTTTTAAAAATAAAAATAAAAAATCGAAGAACATGTATGAGTTGTAAAGAAAAAGAGACGGGACAGGAGAAAGGGGCGCCAATTTCGATCAGCACTCTGATTTATTTATTTATTTCGTTTAATAACTAACCAAATGTTTTTTTTTTTTTTTTTTTTTTTTTTTTGTAAACGTAGAAGATATTTCAAATGGAATCTAATAAAAGCAATTAGACACGTCTTAGTAGTAAGTGCTCTTAATCAAAATCAACCACTAATTCAATTGAAAGAATAATAGATATCAATTCAAGGCCTAAAAACAACAAAAAATTTGTTTCACTCTTAATTTGTTCTTTTTATATGTATATAAATTTTAGTATTATTAATTTAAGAGTAATTTTGTCTTTTTAAGTGAATTTAACACATTTGAATTTTGGATGAAAACCTTCGATTTTTAACGAATATATGAAAAAAAAGTTTATATTGACGTCTTCTAATTAGAAATTGAAATGATTATTTTTTATATTGTACTTTTTATGACAAAACGTTATAACGACTACATGGAATATGACTATCCATTTAAGTATTTTTATTAATTTGGAAGACAACATTTATCAATTTGTTAAAGGTCCGTTTGTTTCTCACTTTTATCAAAATATATTTTTCTCTCTTCTTTTTTATCACATATTTTTCACTAAAATAATATTACACGTAAATTTAAAAATTTTCCTTATTTTTTATCAACATATTCTCCATCAATCTACTATTTTAAAATTTATTTTTCCATAAAAATGGGTCTCAATTACCCTATAAATCTATTCAATTTCAGTGACCAAATAAATTTGAGGCCATGTTTGAGTTCCATTAATTTCTTGTAATGTACTATGAAATAGTAAATTGACGATAAGTGTATTGTACAAATAATAATAATAATAATAATAAATTTTTTTGATTTGAGTGTAATATTATTTTAATGAAAAATGGGGCTCAAACAGGGGCTAAATTATAATGATCCAATTGGGATTTCAAAATAGAGGAAATTTCACGTGGTGACCTATTATAGAAAAAATTTAAAAAATACTACACTATTTATTTCAGTAATTTAATAGTAAAAATGATATTGAAAAAGTCACCTCTCTCCTAAAAATCAACCAATTTTAACCCGTTTCTCACTCCATTAAAGAACCAATCACTATTTTATTGCTAATTATCCCCCATTCACAGTAGAATTATTCTTCATCATTTTCATTCCTTTCGTTCGGTCAAAGAATCACAAGATTTCATCCGTATCCGTCTCTCCTACCATACAAGAAAGTTGATCACAAAAACTTTCTTTACTGAATCACAACAAAACCCAAATTGAAATACACTCACAAATCACTTCTACGAATCTTTAATTTATGCTGTTTAACTATTGCTACCCTTCTATAGTCAATTGAAATGGGAAACCCCCAAAGCCCCAATGTTCCACAACTTCAAACTAAAACATCCTGTCGTGTAAAACCCCAATGTCTCTGGAGATATTATACCCCAAAATGAAAATCTAAAGATGCCAACTAGTCATATACTCATATTATCCATCGCAAGCATCCTGATGGATTACAAGGTTGGTACAGAGCCAGCTTCTAATGTAGGTAGGTCAGTGATTTCCATGGAATGATATTTCTTATCCATTATAAAACATGTAGGTCGGTGATTTCACAGTGTGGATTGTACATTTTTCGAGATTTGTAATCTACTTTGAAAGCCCAAGAATGATTAACCAAGAGGGGGGTGAATTGGTTATTAAAACTTTTTCGAAAATTAATTCTAGATATATCTATTGCACAAATATAAAATTGAATAATGAAGATAAGGTAAAGCTAATAAGTAAAAGGGATAGAGATTACAAACGATTTAATAGGAGATTTGATTCAACTCAACCGATCTACGTTCTTCGTTACCAAATTCTCCGTCACGAGCAAGACCTTTTTCACTAGATTGATTGACTTCTGGTGCAATCCAACCCTTACAACGCTTCTGATAACTTACAAGCAAGGAGCATCGATCCTTTTACAACCGTTGAACTTTTTGGGATTTCAACACGACCCACAATTCAATCAAAAGTAAGATTTACAAAAAGGAATATTCTCCCACAATAAAGATATATTCAAAGTTGAGTACAACGGAGAAAAGTAGGCTAACACTTTAATTAATGGCAATAAGTAAAGTTCAAGTGTTAGGTTTGAAAAACTTTGATCAATGATTTTCAAAAGTAAACTCAATCAAAAGTTTTTCAAAAACGAATGAATTGATAAAGATAAATAAGGAGTAGAGATTTAAAGCTTGAAGTATCTCAATTTAATGCTCTTCGAAGTGATGATTATTAATGCAAGAGATTGGAGGTATTTATAGATTTCAAAACGTTAAAAAAATCTGAATTTGCGGATGACTCGTCCGGTCGACCGCCCCTTGTCCGAAAGACCAATATAATCGTTTGTACAGTAAAAATTAAAAGTCAGAATGGTCAAATTTTGGACCGTTGGAGAGGTCTGGTCGATCGGTCTGGTCGACTGCCTCTCTGGGCGGTTGACCGTCCCGACAGTGCGGTCTTTTCAAGTTTTGATTTCGTTTGTTTCGATTTGAAAATTTTGAAGTGTATGGACTTTTGAAGAATATTTTTAACTAAATTTTCATAATAAAAATGTCTTTAAGGTCCATATATCATTTTCATGTTTGATTAAAAAAAAGTTTGCATTCGAATTATTTTAGTGCACAAAACTTATTTTTAATGCGTGGCAAGATTTTGAGCTTAACTATTCTTTGCCAAATATAAAAGCATTATTACCTTTACATTTTGCCTAAAAAATCAAGTCTTTACTTCGAAGTTTGCCTCGTCTTGATCTTTATTTGATGTCGTCTCTCACGCTCTTCATCTTGATCTTTCTTGGCATTTATCTCTTAAACTTTTTGTCTCGAATTATTTGACTTGAATACATGGCTTCTATTTTGATCTTCATTTGAAATCCGATAATACATGATTGATTTAAACATTAAACTATCATTACTAAAAAGAATTTGTTAGAAATAATATTGTTTGTTATGATCAAAACATTGAGGATTAAGTCGACCATATGTTAACAATTTCCCCCTTTTTAATTATGACAAACAAGATAATTTGCAAGATAATTTAAACAATTTATATTAAGGAATATGCATTAAAAAATTTATCATGTAATCTATTCCCCTTATCCTTTACAAATCATGACTGTATATTAAAGGTGATATTTTTCTATTTGGCCTGTCACTATTAATTTTTATGGAAATGTCTATATTACCCTTAATGAAATGATTCTTTCTATATTGCAACATATGTCCTAATCTTTTTAAACATTTTAACTTCTGTTTACTCTATTTTGGATATTTGAGTATAAAATCATTCTATGATCTAATAAATAAGAATAATCCATAACATATATATCATATTTTGTTAATAAAATACCAAATTCTTCAAATGGTAAATTTGTATTTTTTAATTGAGATATAATATTCTTTATTTTTTCTAAAAATCTTTCTAATAAATTATCTAATCCTTCAACTGTATATCCTGACATTTATCAAAATAATCATCATGCAATTGTCCCTATGATTCTTTTTAGACCTTTAAAAAGATTCATTCTAATTGTAACAAAAGTTTAATAGTTTTACCTTAGGTTTGATCTAGACTTGTATTCTTAGAATCGAGTGGTTTTCGAACTCTGAATTTGTAAACTGCTTCCTTCAAACGTCTCCTACTTTCATGGAATTGTTATTATTTCAGCTACTTGCTCTTACTGTATCAACTTCTAAAGAATAAAATTCTAGATTTCTGTTAAAGAAAAACTCTCTTTTTGCTAAAATAAGAAGGAAATTTTCTATTAGATCTTTCAAGAATTTTATGGGAAAAGATTTAAAAACTCATATTGATATCAAAATATTGAAATTTTATTTCTATTAGGATTGATACAAGACTTTAATTTGGTACAAAGGGATCTCCAGAGAAACTAGTTTTTAAACTGAGAATAGGCTATTGTTTACAACTCGAGAATTCAAGATAGGATGATCTTCTTCTATGGTAGTGTCTCTATTTATACAAGTTTTTGATACTCTATTACATCATTGATTACATCAGTAAAGGTACTCTTGCCTCTCTATTTTTTTCCCTGGGCCTACATCTTCACATGGTGGTGCAACTCTTCTATGCAAAGAGCATCTTTTTTTATTATTACTCTTTATCTTTAATGTCTTCACATGTAGTATTATTGTCCTTCATACACATTTGTCAAAAGGTGCTTTGTCTTCTTCTTTCATTTCTTCACATGCAGTTGGGGCACTCCCTTAGCTGGCAGGATTTTTTTATAGTGGTAGGATATCCTGAAAATTGATGTATATCAAATCTTGTAATATAGTCTTTTAAAATTTCTAATTTTGCATATCCTCCATTGAATACCAGCATTCAATTTTCATATTGGCGTAAGCACGAAAATTTTTTATCAAACAAATTTTTGGCAATGTTGTAGATGGCTTTAATTCCAAGTGCTCT